CATGTGTGCCTGTACCGTCTGTGGTTAAAACGATGCTGGCTAGGTAGATAGGTGAAAGAGACACCTTCATTTGGATTTCTCCCTTTGATGATGATTGGTGCTTGTTGTTGTTGTTGTTTGTGTATCTTGATCACGTGTGTATTCTCAACATTCACGAGAAGGAAGTCTTGTTTTCGTTTGCTGCCCTGCCTCACCTGTTGTGCCAAGTTGTTAGTTTTGGCCTGTAGATGTTCGAGTTTGTGCTACAAAACATTGGACATAAATGAACAGCGTTGGCGAGATACAAATTTCTTTTGCAATCTGGGCAGCTTTTCTTGTTTCAAACATTGTTCGGACACTCCATGTCCCCATGTTTACTTTTACTTTCATCCAGAGAGAGAGAGAGAGACGACACATCGGCTAATTCGCTTCTTGAAGGCTTTCACCAACCGTAGTAGTGATGAATAGTGTCTAACAGTGGAATGCGGGATGCGCACTTTGTCCTATTTAGGAATCGTCAGCTGGACGTACCTGCCTCTCAGTGAGTGATGTTGTTCCCACCGGCATTCGGACTCGGGAGTGATCGCTCGAAATGCCAGAGTGTCATCCACTAGATCACTGACCCACGACAGCCACTTCTTGTGTAACGGGTAGTGTTAATAGTATTATTGTTTGTATTATACCGTCGTTGATTGGACCCGATTGATCTGTTCCTATCGGTATATGGGCTGCTGTGCAGATGCCTCGATATTACCTGTGTTTTAATTCTAGTAATGATGGATTATGGCTGACAATGGAGTCCAGGATGCGCATTTCGTATAATGGTCCCGAGTTTGAAACCCGATGAGAACAACATTACTCATTGGGGTGCAGGTACATCCAGCTGAAGAGTCCCAAATAGGACGGAATGCACATCCTATATCCCACTGCTAGCCAATATCCATCATTATTATAATTAGAACACAGGCAATATCGAGGCTTCCGCATAGCAGCGCATATACCAATAGAGACCGGTCAATTCGGTCCAATCAACGACGGTAAAGTACAAACAATAATACCAGGAATTTTAAAGGTTTATTGTAATAAGAAGGGAAGAAAGTCTGGTTGGAAATGGTAGCATTAGCAACGATAATAATGATAATTTCGTTTTTTATTTTAAAAGGAAAGGGAAAAAAGAGAGTGGGGATGAAAAAAGTAGACTGAGAAAGAAACAAAAGGGTTGAGAGAATACTGTTTAGTTGATGGAAGGCCAAGGGAGGAGAAGGACTTCGATATGTTCTTTTTGAATCTTATAATTACAGCTCTGGCTATATATAGAGAATGTGTAAACAAACAGCAGATGGTAGAGTCTTCGGAATATGATGTATCACAGTGAAAGTTGCCCCAGCATCTATTTAATGTCCTGTAACTATTAGATGTGCTAGGATAAAACTTCCAATGAGTTTGATCTCACTCTTTGCAAACTATGCCGTGTATATCCTTGCGCTTGTACATACTGCCTCCAATCATCAAATCATTGAATGCACAGTTCTTCTTTCTCGTTCGTTTTGGCGAGTGCTTCTCGACCTATAATGATGAGTTCTCTTCCTATGTTGTCCACCTTCAGTTTAGCATTCATGTCGCCCCACCCATTAGAATGAATTTTGATGTCGCCAACTGGAGTGGGGTCTTGTCCATTACTGATTGCAGTTGTCTGTAGAATTCCTCCTCTTCATCTGCATTATTTGTGGGTGCGTAGCATTGTATGATTTTGACTTTCCTTTCTTCCTTTTGAGTTGAATCTTGCTGTCATGATCCTTGAGGAGGAGATTAGTTCCCACTGCATGAAAACCTTCGATGCTTTTGGGACATCATGATAGGCACTCCAAAACGAAGTGTGCTAGTGGCTGTCGTGTGGGTTACAATATCGGAGTAGATTACTGACTCTCAAGTTGACAGTTAAGAGAGTCCATTTTGCATTCCATCTACTTTCGCAGATTCCTAGCACTTCAATGCTATACCTTCTCATCTCTTTAGCAAGCTAAATAGCCTTGCTAGGTTCAAACATGTGCCTATGTTTACTTTTGCTTTCATCGGCCAATTAATTGGATTCCGGAAGGCTTTCACCAACCGGCGTCATCTTGTCTCCCCGATTTCGGCAAGGAATAAGTTTAATTTTATTTTTGTATTTTCTTTGTGCTTTGAAGTTTCTTAGTAGTTAGAGTGGTTTTTCGGTGTAGGGTTGCTAGCCCTATGCCCAACCTTCCCTCTTTATGGTGGCTTAGGATCATCTAGTAACTAGTGTACTAGTTACTTAGGGGAGATTGAGGGGGATACTGTTTAGTCGATAAAAGGCCAAGGGAGGAGAAGGACTTGGACATGTTCTTTTTGAATACAAAGTTCAGGCTTAAGTAATCTTATAATTACAGCTCTGGCTATATATAGAGAATATGTAAACAAATAGCAGATGGTAGAGTCTTTGCAACGTGGTGTATCACTGTGAAAAGCTGTTCTAGCAACTATTTACTATCCTGTTTGTGTCTATTCATTGTGCTAGTAACAAATTTTTAACATTGTTTAAGATTTTTGTACATATAAAAGAAGAAGAAAATATCTATTGATTTTATTACTTGAATCGAACCCATTTTTATCAGCATATGTAGAATACATTGTATAGGATGTATTTTTACTTGTATAATCCCGGCGTAGTATATTAGAACAAATAACAAAATGAACAAATATTTTGTATTATTGAGATTGATGGGGATCTTCTTAATCTAGAAGTAGTATTCATCATGGACTTACATCAGTTGGGGAACCATTGAAAATCTGGGAGTACTGGACAGCTGTTTCGTTCTAGTTTAGGACTCCTCAGCAGTACGCACTAGTCGGAAGTGAAGTGGATGCTAACTGAAGACCTTGGGTGACAGTCGCACTATGTCGTGAATTGACAGAAGTTGGAAATATTTTGTATTATTCCTCAACGTTTCGATTTTGCTAGGATGATCCTTTTGCAGGAGTATGAATCTGACACTAAGTTTTCAGGTTAATATTCAAGTTTTTGTACACAAAGTGGTGACCTTTACAATCATCCAATTACATAGTGATATGGAGGAAAGATCAATGTAATACAGGTGAGTGAATAAGCAACTCAGTCAGAGAGGTTTTTCCGTTGTGTGAGTAAGGTGGAACAAAAATGGGGTGGGGAAATTTTTTAGTTCATCTATGAAAAGTACAATGGGGTTGTGAGACATCAAGGGTGAGAAAGAATAGATTACTAGTTTGGAACGATGAATATTTGAAGATGAGACAATATAGCTTAAATAAATAATAATAATAATACTAGGACGAAACAGCTGTCCAGTGCTCCCAGGTTTCCTTTGTTCCTCCAACTGATGTCAGTCTTCGATGAAAAACAACTTGAAATAATAGTGATAACCATAAATGTAATTTTGATAACATTTGAAGTATGAGTGATAACAAAATGGATTATGAGTAGTATTCATCATGGACTGACATCAGTTGGGGAACCATTGAAAATCTGGGAGCACTGGACAGCTGGACGACCCGGCTACAGGTCGTGGGTGCTCATTAGTGACTTGCTTCCAGATGATGGATATCACGAAGCTCTAATGAGAAGCCGTGACCTGTGGGGTCAACCAGTCGCATGTGAAGTGGATGCTAACTCAAGACCTTGGGTGATAGTCGCGCTAAGTCGTGAATTGACAGAAGTTGAAAATTGTGAACCACTGGATACAGACCCAGTGGTTGAATGGTTAACGCGTTCGCCGTGAAACCTGAAAGTCCTGAGTTCATTCCCAAGCCGGGTTGTGTGTGCGTACTGCTGAGGAGTCCCATATTAGGATGAAACAGCTATCGAGTGCTCCCCATTCATCTCAAAAATGGATTATGTTATGGTTCATCGAATGTATATGACTGAGAGAGTAGTGTAAAATTGATGAGGTAGGTGTATATAATAGGACTAGACAATCTACCTTCTCTTCAGATATTATTTACAACTGCCTAGGCGAGTCATTAATGTTTTGGCATATTAGTGGGATGTCTAACCCATCTTTTCTGTTGACCGTAGAAGGATATGAGCAGATGTGCAAACCTTCTGTAATGGTCCGTTCTTTGTGAGAAAGAAAACCCTTTTGCAAAACTTTTGTCTGTTCGAATGATATTTTATGACCTGAATATAGGGCATGAGCTGCGATAGGAGAGCTTTTTTCAAGTTTTTCTAGATCACAGGAATTTTCGGTTGGTTTTTTGGAACTTCTACCATGTTCGGCTAGATGTGTTAGTACTTGACGTGATGTCTCTGCAATGTATGTGGCATTGCATTCACTACAGTCTAACTTATGAACAACACAGTTTTGTTGTTCCAAATGAGGAACCGGATCTTTTAATTTACACAGGTGTGAGTGTAATATATTCGTCACCTTAAAGAATACTCTGAAGTGGATGTTCAATAAGGAAGTACTATAGTAATTATCCAATCTTTATGGCTTGACTTTTTCATATTTTTATTCGATCCTTTTTAATAGTTTATCTGGATAGTTATTTTGTCTTAAGACTTCCCGAACAAGTATCGCCTATCTACTTGCTGAGATTCCATTTTATTTAGTATCCTTTGCTATGTTGTCAACAGATTTTTGGCAACGTTTAATTTAGCTTCTAATAGATGAGCCGAATCAAAGTTGGTTGTCAAGGTACTTTGTTAGAATGTGTATCTTTTCGATAGACATCACAATGTCAAGTATCATCCCATCACTGTTTCATATCATCTTGTAGTCTACGAAAGGTGTAACGTTCTAAATTCTGTTTCTAGTTCATATGTGAATTTTACAGAATTGAAACGGTTGTTTAAGGTATTCAAAAAGAATCCATCAAATCATCCAGTCTATTGTTGGCCAGGATTACCTTCATATATATATATATACAGAATAGTTTCAGTTATTATATGTCAACACTACTTACAGTTGATATAAACACACCATAATATCTTTAATGTATACTATTTTTTTTATATCTTATTTTAGTTTTCTTGATGATCTTGACCGTCTTGGCGCCAAGGACTATATGCCAACAGAACAGGATATCCTTAGAACTCGAGTTAAGACAACTGGTATAGTGGAAGTTCATTTCCAATTTAAAAATATGAATTTTAAGTATGTTTTATTATTTTGTAATTTTATTGATTCGTTTTTTTTTTCACTATTGAAAAATTCTAGTTTTTTTTTAATCATTATATTGCTTATTTTTCCTTTGGGTTCCTAGTGGGACATATATAGCTTCCGTAGCACGTCTCCATTGTACTCTCTTCTCTTCAGTCTTCTCTTTCAACCTAGTTCCATTATTGTCCACAAGCTTTCATTTCTTCCTCCCTCACATGATCTTCTCCATGTCACTCTCACCTCGAACGGCCAACTCGTTGTTTCCCCTTTGGATTCCATTCGACGGTCTGGTGTGGCGCTTAATGTCCTCAATCGGCTTTTTCAGTGTATGCCCAATCCAATCTACCTTGACTTTCTTCTTGTGTATATTTGTTAGGTGATAAGTTCTTAGTTGGTTCGCTGCCAGAGTTCCTTGTTGCTTATTCTTATTATTCTGGCCTTCTCATCTCATATTCAGTATGGAGCCGGCGTAGGCAGCTGTTGATAAATATCTGTAGTTTGTTGGAAATGCTTTCCGTGACACGCCAAGTTTCTGAACCATGTAGCAGGACTGACTTGACTGAATTGGTGTTGGGAATGCGGATCTTGTTCTTTGTGCTGAGTGCCGTGCAGTGTAGTAGATCTCCACACTGATTGTTTCAGATTAATGCAGGAAGGCCTGTCTCTCTGTCTTTTCTATCCTGACTTTGACGTCCTCATCTGTGCCTATTCCGTTTGTAGTTAAAACGATGCTGCCTAGGAATGTTTAAGAGACTACTTCCTTTAGATTTCTCCTCTTAATGGTGATTGGTGCTTGTTGTTGTTGATGCTATTGTTGGTTGGGTATCTTCATCACCTCTGTCTTATCTACGTCCACCTGAAGGAAGTCTCCTCTTCGCTGCCTCACCTGTTCTGTCAACTTGTTAGTTCTTGCCTGCAGATCTACAAGTTTGTGTTACAAGACATCAGACATAAATCATCATCGGTGAAATCCAAATCTTCTAGGGTCTTTTCAACGGTCCAACCAGCGTATACCCATCTTCTCGCTCCTCATGGTTTGCTGTATGATCCAGTCGACCACAATCAGGAAGATCATAGGTGATAGTAGACAGCAACCTTGTCTTACTCCTTCCCGTCTTCACTTCAAAGGCGTCGGTGGTCTTTCCATTGTGGATCGCTTGATATGTGGTGTTTTCATATAGTTGTTGAATGAGGTTGATAAAGATTTGTAGTAGTCCGTAGTGTTAAAACAGTTAGTTTCTTTTATGAATTTAGATAGCGTAATTAGAAGACGAAGCTTGTTTGATGGATTTTTTCACACTACAACATTTCTAACAATGTTATCTCTCACACATTTACTTGTCTCAAATCAATGTATATTAAACCGAAGAGTGCAGTGGGGTGCCGGGGGGGGGGGGGGGGGGGAAACAATACAACAATTAACACAAGCAGGAGATTAAAATTAAGAAAGATGGGAAGAAACAGCAAAAGTGACATAGTTGTTCCTAATCAGAGTAAGATAACAAAGTTTATCAGGGTAGGTATAGTGTCTAAGAACAAATTGTTTTTGTACACATAAAGGTGGCTTAAATTTGTGTATGGCTATGGCTTCCGTAAATCTCAGAATACATTCCTGACTATTTCTATGTCAAACTTTGAGAGTTGTTTGAACATTAACTTTGTGAACTGTTTCTATGATATGTTTAGCTATCGATGGAGAGGGTCGTCTCCCATCAGCGTTTATCACTGTTTCACACTCCATTTGTTTTTGAAGCCATTTAGGTACATGTTCTCCTACCCTCAACTGCATAACTCGATTACCCCTCCGTATATATGTGTGACCACATACACACATAAATTGGTAAACACAATGGGATGTGACGTAATCGTTGGTGCAGTGTTTAGGTTTTTGGTGAAACATGTATTTTGTTTTGTCCGCAATGATAAGATTCGCCGCCTAATACGTTTTCTTAATGGCTGATGTCAGCCTACGTCTCAAAATGATACTATTTAGCTCCCTTCTGTATGGTAGAGTGATATGGACGCTTTTCTTAAGGACGGTGTATAGAGTTGGCTTTGGGTGCTACTTGACCTCTACAACGGTTTATAAACTTCGTCGGATATCTATTTCCCATAAGTGCTTTGGTCAGTAATTTGATATCTTCACTCATCGCATCTGGTGTACTGATACGATAGATCCTGTTAAACAGGCATTTTATTAGACCTCGCTTGTATTGGATTGGACAAAAACTGTGGAAATTCAGGTATTGTCCTGTCTATGTAGGGTTCCTGTAAATTGACCGTCTTATTGAATTATCTTCTCATCGACTCAGGAGTGTATGTCTAAGAATTCTCTTTCTCACAAGTCAGGCTGATGTGAGTTTGTACGATATTGACTTTTTTTCAGTAGACAAACCATATCTTCATACCTCTCACAGATCACAATGATGTCATCAGCATATCTCCTATGAAGAGAAACTTTGGCGATGAGATCACCAGCCAGATTTTCCATATATGACATATAAATATTAGCTAGTAGTGGTTCTAAGGGACTACTCATAGCTAGACCGTCAACTTGTTGAAAGCGTTCACCTTCAAATGTGAATTGTTCTTTGTTCAGTACACAGCAGTAATAGCTGCCTCAGAAAAGTTGAAGTAATGGGGAATGAGAGGTTTCCAGAAGATATGTAGTCACAGAGAATGCTAATAGTCCTTGATAACGGCACATTAATGAATAAAGAATATACATTGAAAGGGTACATTGTCTTGTTTTCGATATTCGTGTCATTAAGACAGTCAACAAATTGAAAAGAATCTTTCAATGAAAACTTACAGAATTCTTTTCAAACTGGATGTAACATTTTTGTCAACCATTTCGCCAGTTTATATGAGGGTGGGGAACGACACAGGGAATTTAGGGCGTAGTGGATTATTAGCTTTATGAATCTTCGATAGTCCATGCAAATTCAGAAATTCACATCCTAAATCTTTCAATGAATTGAAATTCCTCTTTGTCTAATAGCATGAATTCAGGAAGAACAAATCATGTGCCGATCGAATTGCAACACTACGCTACACATCATCATAGAACAGAGCATAGAATGTCAGTCAACTCAACTTCATCGCATTTGAAAAGGTTTTCGTCGATCGACAAGTAACTTGACAGGCAGCTGCTTCAACACTACGGTTTTAGTGCTACAAATCTTTATCAAACGAATTCAACAGGTATATATGACGACGCCACATGCCAAGTGATTCACAATGGACAGGTCAGTTCAGTGATGCCTTTGAAGTAAAGACAGGAAGAAGTAAGACAAGGTTTCCACCTACTATCACCGATGATCTTCTTGATTTCGGTCTACTGGATCATGCAACAAACCATGAGGAGCTGTGAGAAGATGGGCATACGCTGTACCGATAAAAAGAGCCTAGAAGATTTGGATTTCGCCAGCGATGATGATTTATGTCTAATGTTGCACAAACTTGAAGATATATAGACAACAGCATATTAGTGAATAAAGACTATACATTGAAAGGGTACATTGTCTTGTTTTTGATATTCGTGTCATTAAGACAGTCAACAAATTGAAAAGAATCTTTCAATGAAAACTTACAGAATTCTTTTCGAACTGGATGTAACATTTTTGTCAACCATTCCACCAGTTTGTGTATGGAGGTACAAAGCATAGATAATGTAGGGGTATAATGTTGATTATTAATTTTATGAATCTTAGGGTTAATCCATAGAAATTTAGAAATTCAGGTGCATTATGTGTCAATGAATTAGATTCCATTTTGTCGAGTAACATTCATATCGAAACGTTTCACGAAATGAGCAGTTACCTTTCCTTTTAGTTTTCTAATATCCACTAAATGAAACATTGGCTATGAATTTGATTTCATCACTGAGAATGGATAGCGTTTTTATTTTTATACTCAAATTTGTTCATCACAACAATATCTGAGAATGATTATCTATTTTTGAGATGAATAGGGATTTTTTAATTTAGAAGTAGTATTCATGATAGAAGTTGGAAATTGTGAACGACTGAAAATTGACCCAGTGGTCGCTGGTTCGAATCCATCCTCGGGCCAAATTTTTCATTTCATTTCCAATCATCACCCAGTATCAATAATATTAAGTATGATAAACCATAACTGCTATCTCACTTGGATAATCAAAATGATAATCAATAGGATGGATCCCCCTCTGTGATTCAGTTAGATTTGGATTGCGATAAGAAGTCGTGACTAGGCAACAGCCAGTATATGAGTACGATCAAGCGATACCACCAACGTGTCATGAATTCATATGGGTATTCGGGAAAAATCGTACCTTGTGATAGACGTGAAATAATTTAAAAAAACATGGTGAGGAGTCGGACCTCGTAGCTCAGTTGGTGGTCACTGATTGGAATCTAACAGCTGTCTAAATCTTCATTTCACCTTTGATTATCACCTAGTATTTTGTCTTTTGTCATCCGATTTTACCATCACTTTGTTTGTTCGTTTAATAAGACCAAGTTAGAATAGATTTGTTTCACTCGAATACTCGTAATTAGACAAAAGTTCAGTCAGTAACATCAACATCATCATCAATATGAACATAGGACCAGGCGTTACTGCGTAATGGCCCGAGTTGCCACACCTCATATATCAGTACATCAAGTAGAAAGATAGTCAAGTGCAAGATGAAGATAAGAGAATGCAGTCAGAAGAAATATAAAGTACGAGAAGAAAGAAAAGAGGGATGACAAAATGGTGAGATTCGATATAGTGTCGTTAAGATGAGGATCATGTGTGTTGGGATACATCTGTACCACTGACAGTGGTTCTGAGCCATATCCCCTAGAGTCGGTAGCCACTGGTTCCTCTTGTCCCGCCGACCCCAATCACCTAGTCTGCATCGCCCTACATGGCTTAAACCAGCAGTCAGAGGCTTCATGCATTGGTGCCATGTTTTAGTCTGGTCGCCTCGGACCTTTATCGAGCCTGAATCTACTTCTGTCAACATT